ATGTTCCTTAAATCTAGATAAATCTATTAAATGTATTTATTCATATTTAGGTAAAAATGCGAAGCTCCCTGGGTATATGGACTACCTACATCTGTCCACATCAGATGTAGGAAATCTAAAGGAATCCTGGTCAGTCTTAGAGGATAATGTATCAAAGGTAAAACTTTTATCAAAATTAATTAACATTATTGATAAAAAAAAAACTTGAGTTTTTGCCATGAATTCTGATTTTTTAATCACTCTGCAATCCGATGTCGTAGACCTTTGACAGATCAAATATTCAAAATATCAAAGTGAGCAGATCCGAATGCAAGGATAAAGGGATTAGAAAATTTGATTTATTGATTGATCAGGTTGGAGTAGAGTTTTTCCTTGATATCTTAAACCATCAAGAAGAGATCAAATCAGTTTTCAGGTCAAGTATAATTTACATTTTGGGAAACCAGTGCTTAGGATCTAGATCCGGATCCGCCACACTTAAGCTCCCTGAATGCGGATCCACAAAAAAAACGGCAAATGCTGTAACTTGTTTTCCAGCAGATAGAAAACTAATTCTTTGGTCAAGTCAGCCTATTCTCTGGGGAAGAAATGATTTTGAAATTTTTAAAATGTGTAAATATTGTTTTTTGTGTTGTGTCTGTGTACGCAGTGTCAGCTTAAGATGGGGGAATGGGGGGATATATAGCCCTTTAATTATGCTTTCCAATAATAGATAAAAAACATTTCCCTACGGCGCAACCTATTTCCTCTCTAAAGCAAGAGATTTTATAAAATATATAAAAATACAATATTAGTTAGCACATTTTCCCAATCACCATTCCTGTTCCCATCTTATCATGTTTTGGACATAAAAATAACCACATTATCTGTATAAAATATAGGGGGGGGGGCATTTTTTGCCAGGGAGGGGTATAAAAATACCGGCACGCTTCGCGCACTCTAACTCAATTACTTCCCCCACCCCTGGATAATATCGTAAGCCGCCAGAGACCGAATTTTAATTTTTTTTGTGCACCTCCTAACGGTTGATGTGCACCCCCCGAAAAAACCGGTATTAAGAAAAAAATAAAGTTTCAAATCTATATTAATCTACCTGAAGGTTGACTATTAGTCATCTGACCATAATTACCAATCATACCATTATAAAATCTAGTAGTGAAAGAGCAAAAATGGATTTTAAATGAAACCCCGTGAAAAAAATATTGTAAATAAGATTAAGGCACAAGAATGAATTTGAGAAATATCATAAAATTGACAAATTGTGACATTGTCGATTGATAAGAAAAGTAAAAAATATAAATATATATGTAAGTTTAATAAATTAGAGCCTGCCTCTGGCTCTAGAGGGGTGCCTAGGGGGGTGCATGTCTAGGGGGGCACAGGGGTACCGACCCCCAGTACGCGCCTGATACCAAGTTTATCAACTATTGTAATTTTATAACTAAAATGTTTTTTTAAAAAGACTAAAATTTTATTGGTGAAAGAGTTGAAACAAATCTGACATATGGTCTCCTTCAAACAAGTTTCAATATGGAAATTAATTCTTAACTTTTATAGAAAAAGTTTCTTTGTCAGAAAGGGTTTTAAAGTGCGTAATTTCGTGTCAGGCATTTCACATTCCAATCCGTTACTTACTTATCCTTTATTCCCGTTCCTTATTTTCTCTGCCCTTAAGTTTACCCAGACTCATTGCATAATAATAATAATAGTGAAGCTTTTTTGCATTGTTTTCTGGCTAAACCTGACCTGTCCCGTCAGCTTCTAGAACATATTTCTCAGTTTTGTTTTTAGAATTATTTCAACCTCGAGTGAAATACTAATGAGAAGTAAGTGAAGGAGAGCGTAGAGAACTCTAATACAACATTGGCTTTATTCCCACAGAAAACAAGTTTAAAGAGCGTGTTTACAAAAACTGAGAGATTTAGTTAATTATAAAAATATTTATAAATATAAATCTCTATATATTCCGTTGAAAATATAATACCACAGGCGATCCACGACAGTATTGTTCAAACCTGTATTTGAGGAATAATGTTTAAAAAACGTGTTGATAAATGTATGCCTTTTTCTTGCTCGATTTAGCTGTAGGTATCCACGAAACACCAGCTTAAGGGTACGGTTCTATTTCGTTAAAAGGACCAAGCGTAATTTCAAGTGACCTTCCATTTATAGAGTGGCATTTCCCATTTTTTAAAGTTTCAATTGAAACCGCGCAAGTGTACACTAGCACGGAGTGTACAGTTTACGCAGGGGCGTGGTGGGGAGCGGTACCCCTCTGCACCCCCTAGCCCCCCCCCCCTAGAGCCAGAGCCCCTAATTTATTTAACTTACATATAAATTCCGATTTTTCTTTTCTTATCAATTAACAATGTCACAATTTGTCCATTTAATGATAATTTCTCAAATTCTCTCTTGTGCCTTAATCTTATTTACAATACTAGGCTTTTAGGGCGCTAAGCGCCCATCTTCTATTTAAATTGTGAACGTTCTTTTTGTTTACATTTTAAAACGAAGAAGAAAAAAAATTTGCGATTTTTAAAAAAAAATTCGCGGATTTTAAAGAATTTAAATTTTTTTACAAAATTAAAAACCTTTAAAACACATTTTTTAAATTTTTATCATTCATAAACCTTCCCTGTGGTCACGTGATATCCCACAAAAAATTTGGGCCCGATCGGTTCAGTCGTTTTGACGTTTATTGGATACAAACAAACAAACAAACAGACAGACAAGCCAAATTTATATATAGATTTTTTTCGTGGGTTTCATTTAAAATCCATTTCAGTCTCTCAGAGCAAGATGATTTTTTAATCTTTAAATAATACTTTCCCCAGTAATCTAGTCATAATATGATTGATATTGATATGATTTATGATATATGATACATTCAAAAAAAAAGTTTTTTGCTCTTTCACTACTAGATTTTATAATGGTATGATTCGTAATTATGGTCAGGTATATTAATGTAGATTTTAAGCTTTAATTTTTTTCTTAATACGTATTTTTAGGTGGGGTGCACATCAACCGTTAGGGGGTGCACAAAAAAAATTTCGGCCAAAAGTTTACTGTAACCTCTAGTCTCCCGGTGTCATGCATGGAGCGGACTCTTCCTAAAGTTTTAACCATTTAACACAATGTTAGACATAAAAAGCAATGTTATGACATTTCCGATATTTATTAATGTATTTTGATTTGAAAAACACATAAAAATTGTCTATGCCTCGAGTAAATATTAATTGTTTAATGATTTGAAAGGAAAACGGCATTCAAGAGGAAATAACCTTTTTTGCCATTACCCACTTTAAAATACAATTTCGAATGCTTTAACATTGCTTTTTATGTCTGACATTGTATTAAAATGGTTAAAACTTTAGGAGTCGTGTCCGCCCCATGAAGGAGTCCGCTCCATGTTCTCCATGCAGGACACCGGGACTCAATCATTAGCTTTACAAATGAGGGTATCCGCATCCGATATCTACCTCATCGCGTTCCGAACAAAGGTTTAAAGGGTATCGTTGTAAATCAGACATGCCTTGTTCAAAATGGATTGTTATGATAGAAATACTTACAATTACTTTGATAGTTTCTTTAATCCATATATACAGGTACATGTAAATATTAACACACAAGCTTCCTCTTCATATATTTCTTTAATCCATATATACAGGTACATGTAAATATTAACACACAAGCTTCCTCTTTATATATTTCTTTAATCCATATATACAGATACATGTAAATATTAACACACAAGCTTCCTCTTTATATATTTCTTTAAGGTGCTTCTAAATAAACATAGGAGGGGAAATGATTTTAAGGCAAATAATCTTGAGGATTTATGAGTTTGTTTGTTTATCTCGGTGAAAGCGTAATAACAAGTTTTTATTCATCTTTTGCTTTATTTATCAGAGGTTTTCAGAGGGATATTGATCTTTAATATTGTCTATTTTATTCAAACGAAACGTTATGGGCTACGGCAAGGTTGGTTCTAAAGAAACTGTAGACTTGATTTTTAGTGACCCTTAAAAAGTGAGAAAAAAGAGTGGAATGTCCGATTCACAATGGTTTCTTTAGATGTAGCTACATGAATGTATTATAATACAGGCAGAATCCTGGGGTACCTGCATACGAGATAAAAGCAAATGAAGATCTGCATAAACATGGTCTTTACGTTCTGGCAGCCATCAAGAAAATTATCAGGTTAAACCAACAAATCGAAATTATTTTTTATTTTTTTATATAAATAATTACATAGACTACATCTGAGAAATGCTTTGAATTTTTTTGCTCATGATAATTAGAAATAGTGCTCATTTATACTATACTAGGAAGACAAACTTCAGATAATCTTACGTTTTTCCAGTAGTTTAACCACCAGTTATAACATGAGTCTAATAGTCATATTCCCTTCCTACAGTTTTAGAAGTTCCACTGATAACTACNTTAATCTTCTGATCTTCTGATCTTCTGATCTTCTAATCTTCTGATCTTCTGATCTTCTAATCTTCCAATCTTTTAATTTTCTAATCTTCTAATTTCCTGATCTTCTAATCGTCTAATCTTCTGATATTCAAATCTGTTAATCTTCTGATCTTCTAATCTTCTGATCTTCTAATTTCCTGATCTTCTAATCTTCAGATCTTCTAATCTTCTAATCTTCTAATCTTCTGATCTTCTAATCTTCTGATCTTCTAATCTTCTAATCTTTTAATCTTCTAATCTTCTAATTTCTTGATCTTCTAATCTTCTGATCTCCTAATTTTCTGATCTTTTAATTTTCTAATCTTCTAATTTCCTAATCTTCTAATCTTCTAATTTTCTGATCTTCTACTCTTCTGATCCTTCTAATCTGCTGATCTTCTAATTTTCTGATATTCTATTCTTCTGATCTTCTAATTTCCTAATCTTTTAATTTCCTAATATCCTAATCTTCTAATCCTCATATATTCCAATCTTTTAATCTCGAATCTCCTAACCTCCTGATCACCGAATCTCCTAATCTCCGTTTGTATTGTTGTAGGTAGAGAACCCTACTGATGAGGACCTGGATATGAGAAATGAACTGAGGCATCAAGTTTTCAGAAGAACCCAGTATGATAGACATCTAATGCAGGTTCAAATTTTACTTTTTATCAATGCAATTATTACACAGATAGAACAAGATGTGTTTTCATTGAATTTCTTAACAAATTTCTATGAATAAAAAGAATTTTCAAGAATAAATCTCAATATTTTATATGAATGTCTAGCAATTAACAGAGATTCAATAATATTTTCTTCTTGAGTTGGGTTTCAGCTTGTTTTAGCTCATTATTAAAGTTTCTGGAACTCAAATAAGTAAGTAAGTAGATATTTACAAAGTACATTTATAATTAGTATGATTTTTATTATTTTATAGATTGGTTGTGAATCCTTTACTCAGCTGTTCACTAGACACCCTGAGGTTATGGAGTATCTAGGAGAGTATGATTCAATGGTGGTGGACGGGATATCTATAGGAGAAGCTCTCAGGTATACCAGTTCTTCTTGTCTTCTTGCCATCCTTATTTCACTCTGTCTTTCGCCAACCTTACGTCACTCTGTCTCTCGTCAACCATACGTCACTCTGTCACTCGTCAACCATACGTTACTCTGTCTCTTGTCAACCTTATCTCACTCTGTCTCTCGTCAACCATACGTCTTGTCAACCTTATCTCACTCTGTCTCTCGTCAACCATACGTCACTCTGTCTCGTCAACCATACGTTACTCTGTCTCTTGTCAACCTTATCTCACTCTGTCTCTCGTCAACCATACGTCACTCTGTCTCTTGTCAACCTTACGTCACTCTGTCTTTTGTCAACCGTATCTCTCTCCGTCTCTCGTCAACCATACGTCACTGTGTCTCTTGTCAACCATACGTCACTCTGTCTCTTTTTTTGTCAACCATACGTCATGTCACTCTGTCTTTCGTTAACCTTACGTCACTCTGTCTTTTGTCAACCTTATCTCTCTCTGTCAACCATACGTCACTGTGTCTCTTGTCAACCATACGTCACTCTGTCTCTTGTCAACCTTACGTCACTCTGTCTCGTGTCAACCTTACGTCACTCTGTCTCTTCTCAACCTTACGTCACTCTGTCTCTTCTCAACCTTACGTCACTCTGTCTCTCATCAACCTTTTTATTAATCTAGCCAATTTTGATACTAAAGATAATTCAAGAGCTTTTAAATAGTTTTTGTGAAACTACTTAATTACTTACTTCTCCCGCTTCAAAAAAGACCAAGCCTAAAAAGAGATAAAATCAACTAGGTCGGGTTTACATAAAACCAAATCCGGCTAAAACTCGAGTCTTAATTTCTCTCTCTACTCCTACGCTTCTAATTTCTCCAGTACTGCAGTAAACCACTGCTGTAGGAATTAGTAGTAATCTATAAGATGCAGAATTTTCCCTTACGAATATGGAAAATACTACAACTTACTATAAAACTTTAGTTCTATAATTAACTTCCTTTTCAAAACCTTTGTTTCATTCTTCTTCTACTTTTTGAGACCTTGGTTCAATCCTTATCTTCCTCGTCCTTAGTCTTAACATAAACCTTGGTTACATTCATATCTTCATGTTTGAAACTTTGGTTCCATCCTTATCTTTCTATTTATAACCTTGGTTCCATCCTTATCTTTCAGCTTGAAACTTTGGTTCAATCCTTTTCGTCCTTTATGAAACCTTGGTTCCATCCTTATCTTTCTATTTGTAACTTTTGTTCCATCCTTATCTTTCAGTTTGTAACTTTGGTTCCATCCTTATCTTTCAGTTTGTAACCTTGGTTTCATCCTTATCTTTCAGTTTGTAACCTTGATTCCATCCTTATCTTTCAGTTTGTAATTTTGGTTCCATCCTTATCTTTCAGTTTGTAATTTTGGTTCCATCCTTATCATTCAGTTTGAAATTTTGGTTCCATCCTTATCTTTCAGTTTGTAACTTTGGTTTTGTCCTTATCTTTTAATTCGAAACTTTGGTTCCATCCTTATCTTTCAGTTTTTAACTTTGGTTTCATCCTTATCTTTCAGTTTGTAACTTTGGCGCCATCCTTATCATCCTTTTTGCAACCTTGGTTACATTCTTACATTTTTTTCTGAAACCTTGTTTACATCCTTATGATTTTTAAGGGTACATTTGTGAATCGAACATATCACTTTAAAAATGAAGAGTAACTTGAAATTACGTCTTCAGTCCATTTAACATTATTCTTTCATCCACAGCTCTGATATCCGATATAGTTGATTAATATTCTCTATTCTAGATCTCATGCTCTGATATCCGATATAGTTGATTAATCTTCTCTATTCTAGATCTCATGCTCTGATATCCGATATAGTTGATTAATGTTCTCTATTCTAGATCTCATGCTCTTGTTGTGGGTTCAGTGGTTGGAGATATTCAGGTAATATGAATCTTTGGTTGGGTTGATATTTTTATTTTTAAATAAAAGGAATTGAGTCTTTGCCACAAACTCTGATTTTATGATCCTTATAATTTTGCAACCTAATGTCAAAGACCTTAGATATTTCAAACTATGAATTCTGTCAGATCAAATGATCTAAGTTTGAAATATCAAAATTTCGATACCAGTAGATTGCAAATATATAGGGATTAGAAATCTTGAGTTTCCCACTTCCTTTGTTGTAATTATGTTAAAAGAACAAGAAAATATCACAATAATAATAATAATAATAATAATAATGTGTTCAGTATTTGTTCTGTGTGCAAATGTTTATTTTGATTGTCAAATATTTTGACATTTCCTTGGTTGAGGCGAAGGTTTTCTTGTCCCAGGAGAATGCTGGGAACCCGGAGAGAATAAGGATGAGTCTGGCTGGAGCAGGACAAAGAAGATATTTAGCCGGAGTGGAGAGAAGACAACTAGATATGCTCGGTCCAGTGAGTTTTATAAGTTTTACTATTCAACTTTATGTTTTTACCATTTACTTCTTATACACCTTGCAAACTATTTTACACTAATAATCGATGTAGGCAACTTATTTTTTTCGATATAGAACATTTTCATACGTTATTTGGTAACTTGTACAACCACGAATTTTAGTGCAATTTTAACCACGATCAGGCACAAACTGCCATGTTAGGCCAAGCGATACGGTTTAAGACCTATGTCGGTTTTAATTCTTCATCAATTCATCTTATTCCTCTTATTCTTTTATCTTGAACTACTGTGATGTTCTGAACCAGGTTTTGTATTCAGGTTCTCTCCCAGGCAATCCGTCCTCTAGTCTGGGAGAAGGGGTTGTGGTCTTCAGAACTGGAGAAAGCTTGGACTCATCTTTTTGATATTGTTTCATGTTTAATGAAACTAGGATACCCTCATGAATATCAGGTTAGAGCTAGAATACCCTCATGAATATCAGGTTAGAGCTAGGATACCCTCATGAATATCAAGTTAGAGCTAGGATACCCTCATGAATATCAGGTTAGAGCTAGGATACCCTTATAAATATCAGGTTAGAGCTAGGATACCCTCATGAATATCAGGTTAGAGCTAGGATACCCTCATGCATATCAGGTTAGAGCTTGGATACCCTCATGAATATCAGGTTAGAGCTAGGATACTCTCATGAATATCAGGTTAGAGCTAGGATACCCTCATGAATATCAGGTTAAAGCTGGGATACCCTCATGAATATCAGGTTAGAGCTAGGATACCCTTATGAATATCAGGTTAGAGCTAGAATACCCTCATAAATATCAGGATTGAGATTAGTAAAATCAAGACCAATTCTAGATTAGATTTTAGAAATGTTGATAAATAATATTTTCAGGAAGAGGAAACCTTCCCTAACCTGACAGAGTTGGTTCTAATCCGAGATACTTGGCCAATAGTCAGACAAAAGGTTTTCATTTCATTCAACTCATTTCTTGACAATTTATTGATCATTTGAAAATTTATTAATTTAATCATAATCCCAATTGCGATTTGCATGAGCTTTTGCGCACTTTCGTATCGAAAAAAATCTGTAAAATTAGCTACACAGAGAGTTTGGATATTTTGGGGCTCATAATATTGATCACAACAAACCTTCCATAGCGCACTTTTTTATTTGGTAAATAAAGGGTTACCCACAAAGGATGAGACGACTGTACAAAATGTCTGTTTTCCTAAATTTCTGGTTTCCTGCAAGTGATAAATCAATAAATCAGCCATTAAACGACTTTATTTAAGGCAGAAGAATTAAATTAATCTTGGAATCATCATATTTAAAGAGTTTCAGGGTGTCTTGATTTATTGATTGATTGATTAATAATCGTTTATTTCTATATACCTTAACACTGGTATCCTTAATCATTTCAGGTTGTATCATCCTTTAACCCTGTATCAAAGCTTAATATTTTACTTTAGGTCAGCCAGCTTGGTCTTGAAACTTTCCAGAACCTGTTCTCCTTGAACTCCGATATGTCGAATTATCTGACGGAGATAAACCAGGAGGAACTCGCATCATCGACAGAGGTACAATCTTACAGGGTTCTCCACTTAGGATCAAACTTTAGTGACGACCTAGAGATCTTTAAATATTAGAAATATAGGAACCGTGACCCTCATCTTACAAATCTATTGATGAAAATTTTCTGTAGCAAAGGAGGACTACTAACGATGAAGAACTTAAATTGAGAATTTTAATATCCCACATTGGATATCGAGAAGCGTTTAAGATTAGCGATATCCACACGATATTTATGATCTTTGATATTTTATTTATTTATTTTGGATAATTGTAAATTTGACTGGTTTAGGCAATGAAGGGATATACTGGAGACTGTATAAAGTTACTGGAGCTAGTTGTTCCTTCTCTACCTCATCTTAGCATAGCAGCAGAACCATTGATTCAGTAAGTTCAGGCAGTTTTAGTAGTTTAAATCATTATGATGCTTTGATGCATTCGATGTAATATGTATTTAATGTAATATGACGTTTTGATCCAACATAGTTTGTTTGATGCAACATGATGTTATGATCCAATATGATGTTTTGATGCAACATAATGTTGTGATTCAACATTATGTTTTGATTCAACATAAGGTTTTGATGCAATATGCTGTTTTGATTTAATATTAAGTTTTCATGCAATATGATGTTTTAATGCAACATACTGTTTTGATGCTACATACTGTTTTGGTGCAACATTATTTTTTTGATTCAACTTAAGGTTTTGATGCATGATACTGTTTTGGTGCAACATTATGTTTTGATTCAACGTTATTTTTTGATGCAACATGATATTTTGATTTAACATAAGGTTTTGATTCAACATAAGGTTTTGATGCAACATGATGTTTTGATTCAACATTATGTTTTGATTTAACATAAGGTTTTGATTCAACATAAGGTTTTGATGCAACATGATGTTTTGATTCAACATTATGTTTTGAGAACCTCTTTTCTTAAAACAGAAAAATTAAAAAATTTTAAATTTTAAAATTTAAGTATAATGAGTTTCTGTAATTAGGTTTGGGAAAACACAGCGAAGTAAGAACGTTAGTGTTTGTGTTTTGGAGATTATAGGACCTGTGTATTGCAATACAACTAGACCATTTCTTCTTGTACAGGTTAGTAATCATAATACAACTAGACCATTTCTTCTTGTACAGGTTAGTAATCATAATACAACTAGACCATTTCTTCTTGTACATTTTAGTAATCTTAATACAACTAGACCATTTCTTCTTGTACAGGTTAGTAATCATAATACAACTTGACCATTTCTTCTTGTACAGGTTAGTAATCATAATACAACTAGACCATTTCTTCTTGTACAGGTTAGTAATCATAATACAACTAGACCTTACTTCTTGTACAGGTTAGTAATTATAATACAACTAGACCATTTCTTCTTGTACAGGTAAGTAATCATAATACAACTAGACCATTTCTTTTGGTACATAGTACATAATACAACTAAAAATGAGTACTGATTTCAAGTTAATGTGTAAAAATGAGTACTTTTATTAAGTTGATGTGTAAAAATGAGTACTTGTATTAAGTTAATGTGTAAAAATGAGTACTTGTATTAAGTTAATGTGTAAAAATTAGTACTGATAGAATGTTAATTAGTAAAAATTAGTAATAATGCCAAGTTAATGAGTAATGATATCAAGTTAATGTGTAAAATTGAGTACGTATATCAAGTTAATATGTAAAATGAGTACAGATAGCATGTTGAATTGAGTAACAATATAAAGTTATTGAGTAAAACATAGTACTGATATGAAGTTTGTGAGTAAAAATGAGTACTTTTGTCAATTTAATGAGTAAAAATGTCTTTTCATTTTTTCCAATACTAGTCTTCTATTTCAACTTTTAATTGTCGCTCTATAAAAAGCATTTTCTCTTCGTGCAATAAAAATTTACAATAAATCATGGATTTAATGATTTGTTTGTAAGTTTTCAAAATTAAGTATATTTATAGATATATTAAACTGTGTAAGTTTACGAAATAAAAAAATAAAAAAGTATGATTTAAACAATCCTATTCTAACTCTGGGTTCATGTTCCAGGGGAGATGGTCTCTTGATGTGGAACGTTCCTGGTTAGCATTGTTCAAGGAACTTACAGGGATAATGAAGGAAGGATACTATTCATGATGGAAAATAAAAAACAACCAACTTTTTTAGAAATTTACAAAGGGATCGTTCGATAATTTTAAAACAGTATATTTTTTAAATCTGAAAATTCTCTTTAAATTCTTAATTTTTAGATTAAAAAAGCAACAGCAGATAAAATAGAAAACAATATATTTACTTTGAATTTTCAAACAATATATTTACGCAAATTTTCCAAATTTTGATGTAAATGTTTTGAATGATTTCTTACATATTTAATCACTAAATGCTCCCTTGAATCTTCTCTGCATTAAGCTGTGATAATGAAACCAGTCATATCTTTGTACTTTATCATAAATATATAAACTTATTTATATTTTTGTTGCTTTTTACTTAGTTTCTTGTAATCAAATAATTAAACGGTACATTCATTTGGATCCTGGTGATTCTTATCCAACCGGATTATTACCAATCTATTACGCCAAATTAGGTTTAAAATAAATATGAATTAAAAAATCTTATATTAGTCTTATATCTAATACTTTTTATGATTTATTCTTTTAAAATTTCACTGCACGATCTAACAGGATTTGATGTTGATCCGTATATAAATTGTCATATTGTATCCCAAATCCTGGTTGTACGTTATTTTTTATGGCACTATGACATTCTTGATGGTGTTTTTTTTGCGTATTTTTAAATTTTATTCACGCTATTTATCTAGTGTCACTTTTCCATGTGCCTTTTTCGCTAACGTCATTTTTACTAGTGTCATTTTTCTAGCTTCATTTTTATAAAACATCATTTTTGCTATACGTTATTCGCCATTTTTAGCGTCATTTTGGCTGTAGGTGATTCGCCGATTTTTTTGCGTCATTATTGTTAAACATCATTTTTGTTGTACTTCATTCGTCAAGGCTTTTTTATGAAAATATGCAGAATTCTTGTCAAAATTTCTGTTGATGACTGCACCGATCAGATTACTTAAGTGATCCTGCAGATTTTGGGGATTTGCTGGCAGCTAGAATATAAAAAAGTTTTGACCGGTTTGCGATTGCATATTTTTCATCAAAATGTATCATGGAATGTTTCAGATTCTCCCTTAGTCCATGTGCTAAATATTTCAACTAGTTTTACAGATTTGATTTAATAGCTTTTTGTAGGAGGCCCGAAAAATAAAAAGACAGTTTTTTTGGCGACCACCCTTTAATAACAGTGTTTATGGTCTTGCCTGTCGTTTTTCTTGTTCTAATATTTTGTACAGCTCAGGTCTGTCCTAAAAATACGAATCATTTTCTGATAATTTGAGAAAACATTAATCTATTAATCTAGACTTGACAGACGATTAAAGTATTTACATCTGAAGTGTTGAATCTATTAATCTTGAATATCCAATATTGAATATAATATGGTATAATATTCTTTTCAATGTTTTCAATCTAATGCATTCTTCTCAGTACTGGTATTCTTTACGCTTAGATCAAACAAACCCCTAACCTTACTCTTTACACTTAGACCCCACTCCTAACCTTACTCTTTACAATTAGACCCAACTCCTAACCTTACTCTTTACACTTAGACCCAACTCCTAACCTTACTCTTTACACTTAGACCCAACTCCTAACCTTACTCTTAACGCTTGGACCCCACTCCAACCTTACTCTTTACACTTAGACCCAACTCCTAACCTTACTCTTTACACTTAGACCCAACTCCTAACCTTACTCTTTACACTTAGATCAAACTCCTAACCTTACTCTTTACACTTAGACCCAACTCCTAACCTTACTCTTTAGACGCAACACCCAACCTTACTCTTTACACTTAGACCCCACTCCAACCTTACTCTTTACACTTAGACCCAACTCCTAACCTTACTCTTAACGCTTGGACCCCACTCCAACCTTACTCTTTACACTTAGACCCAACTCCTAACCTTACTCTTTACACTTAGACCCCACTCCAACCTTACTCTTTAGACTTAGACGCAACACCTAACCTTACTCTTTACACTTAGACGCAACACCTAACCTTACTCTTTACACTTAGACGCAACACCCAACCTTACTCTTTACACTTAGACGCAACACCCAACCTTACTCTTTACACTTAGACGCAACACTTAACCTTACTCTTTACACTTAGACCCAACTCCTAACCTTACTCTTTACACTTAGACCTAACTCCTAACCTTACTCTTAACGATTGGACCCCACTCCAACCTTACTCTTTACACTTAGACCCCACTCCAACCTTACTCTTTACGCTTAGACGCAACACCCAACCTTACTCTTTACTCTTAGACGCAACACCCAACCTTACTCTTTACACTTAGACGTAACACCCAACCTGACTTTTTACACTTAGACCCAACTCCTAACCTTACTCTTTACACTTAGATCCAACTCCTAACCTTACTCTTAACGCTTGGACCCCACTCCAACCTTACTCTTTACACTTAGACCCCACTCCAACCATAATCTTTACACTTAGACGCAACACCCAACCTTAATCTTTACACTTAGATCAAACTCCTAACCTTACTCTTTATACTTAAATCAAACACCTAACCTTACTCTTTACAATTAGATCAAACTCCTAACCTTACTCTTTACATTTAGATCAAACCCCTAATCTTACTCTTTGCACTTCGACCTAACTCCTAAAGTTACTCTTTACACTTTACACAACTCCTAACCTTACTAGCATAGAAGTATATTGAAGAAGTATGGATATATATTGAAGAGTATGGAAGTATATTAAAGGAGTATGGATAGATATTGAAGAGCATAGAAGTATATTGAAGGAGTATGGATAAATGTTGAAAAGTATAGAAGCATATTGAAGGAGTATGTATAGAACTTGAATAATATAGAAGTATATTGAAGGAGTTTGGTGAAGAGTATATAAGTATATTGAAGAGTATGAATAGATATTGACGAATATAGAAGTATATTGGAGGAGTATGGAAGAATGTTGAAGTAATATGGATAGATATTGAAGAGAAAAGAAGTATATTGAAAGAGTATGGATAGATATTGAACAGTATAGAAGTATATTTAAATGTATAGATGTATTTTGAAAAGTATAGAAGTATATTGAGGAGTATAGAAGTATATTGAAGAGTAAAAAAGTATATTGATAAGTATAGAAGTATATTGAAGAGTATAGAAGCATAATGAAGAGTATAGAAGTATATTGAATAGTATAGAAGTATAATGAAGAGTATAGAAGTATTTTGATGAGTATAGAAGTATATTGAAGAATATAGAAGTATATTGAAGAATAAAGAAGTTTATTGAAGAGTATAGAAGTATATTGAAGAGTATAGAAGTATATTGAAGAGTATAGAAGTATATTGAAGAGCATAGAAGTATATTGAAGAGTATATAAGTATATTGAAGAGGATAGAAGTATATTCATGAGGATAGAAGTATATTGAAGAATATAGAAGTATATTGAAGAATATAGAAGTATATTGAAGAGTGTAGAAGTATATTGAAGAGGAGTATGTGTAGAAGATAGAGACTGGTGTCTCCAGTAACATGTTGGGGTTCAATCCTTCCATCCTTCAGAACCTGTCCAGCAGGGGAACTTGTTGGTTTAATCATCCTCAACCTATCCTTACTCCGGAGGATACTAACACTGCCTAGGTTCAGCTAGTTTGGATCAAATTGCTCAAAAACAAATATTTTACGATTGTAAAGATCCCAGCTACTGGAGAATTAACAAGTAAGTCTTAAATCAAGTTTTAAATTATTCTGAGAATATTTTGGGATTTTTGTAAAAATATATATCTGATAGACTTGACAAGATTTTATATTTTCTGACCTAACAATTCTTAATTTTTATATTCTAGATTCTTGATATTTAGGATTAATAAACCTTTATAGCTAATATATGGTGTCTATAAAAAGGGAAATGTAAGAGTTGGGATCGTATTGATTTCAAGAATGTCTTATTAAATATGAAAAATATATATACATAGTGAATCTCTATGTATATATAATGATGATTAAACATTGTACGGTACACTGAATAAAAGAAGGAAGGTTAATACTTTTAAAATTCGGTTAATACTTTCTTATATATTGCGCACTTTTGTCGGATATAATACTGCCGGATTACGCCGTTATCCTTAGTTAGAATATTGCCAGAGAGCGCCGTTCTTCATAATTGAAATATTGCCAGATAGCGCGATTATCCTTAGTTGAAAGAGTTGAAACATTGCCAGAGAGTGCAGTTATCCTAAATATAAATATTGACAGATACCACCGTTCTCCACAATTGAAATATTGACAGATACTACCGTTCTCCATAATTGAAATATTGCCAGATAGCGTCGTTCTTCATAGTTGAAATATTTCCAGACAGTGCTGTTATCCTTAGTTGAAATATTGCCAGATAGCACGCCGTTCTCCATAATTGAAATCTTGCCAGATAGCGTCGTTATCATTAGTTCAAAAATTGGCAGATACTACCGTCTGAATTATTAATTAAAATATTACCAGAAAGTGCCGTTATCCCAAAGTAAACCATTGCCAAATATCACAGTTTTCCATAATTAAAATATTGTTAGATAGCTTCGCTATCCCAAATTAACATATTTACAGATAGTGACGTTGTCCCTAATCAAAATATTGTCATATAGCGTCATTATCCCTAATTAAAATATTGCCAGATAGCGCCATTATCCTTAATTATAATGAGTTTTGTACAGTGTACATTGTACATGTCGATATATTAACAATTATAATGTCAAATAAAGAATTTAAAGAATGATTACCCTGCCTTGGTAAAGACTGTAAATTATAATTAGTTTTCTTAATATTTAACCAAGTAAAATAAACTTAAAACTATCTTCTGCTAATATTTAAAACTATCTTCTGCTAATATTTAAAACTATCTTCTGCTAATATTTAAAACTATCTTCTGATCTTCTGATAATATTTAAAACTATCTTCTGCTAATATTTAAAACTATCTTCTGCTAATATTTAAAAACTCCGAACTTTTCATTTGAAGTGATGAAAATCTCCTGTTCCATATTATCGGCAGATGAAATATATTCACAAGTTTTTCTCATTCATCAATTTGTAAAATCTTAAAGATTATATATTGAGTTCCCCATCCTCTAATCACTCGGACCTTGCACCTTTTATTAAACCCCCTCCCCCTTCCCCTCCCCCTTCCCCTCCCCAGGTTTAAGGATTGAAGACTATAATTAATCTTAATTTATCCTCCCTTTCTCCACCCCTTTATTGAGAGCAGAGAACAGATTTGTCTCATCTCATACTTTACATTCAAGTGCATGCTGTACACTTTACTTTTAATTGCATGCTGTACACTTTACATTTAATTACATGCTGTACACTTTACATTCAAGTACATGCTGTACACTTTACATTTAATGACATGCTGTACACTTTACATTCAAGGTCATGCTGTACACTTTACATTTAAGTACATACTGTACACTTTACATTCAAGTACATGCTGTACACTTTACATTCAAGTACATTCACTTTACATTCAAGTGCATGCTGTACACTTTACATTCAAGTACATACTGTACACTTTACATTCAAGTACATGCTGTGCACTTTACATTCAAGTACATGTTGTACACTTTACATTAGATAAAAGCGGACAATTTATATGGGTACGAGATTTAAAAGATATTTTTAAGTAACATCTTTACCGTACTTTTTAATTTCCCAAACCTTTCCTAATTTTATTTTTCAAATCTTTCTCTTTTATCGTTATAGCAACTATTTGAATAACTTTTTAACTCTTATTCAGGCCAATATTTCTTACATTGAGAACTTGTTAATCCTGACAAAAAAATTTCTAGCCTTTTTAATCTTTCTGTCTACAAGAATAGGTTTCTTTAGATTCACAGTCACGTAGTTTAAGAATAGTTGAAGAGCAGTGTATTTATTTCTTCAGGACAAATTTTTAAACTGAAAAATACTGCTTTTAGATAGTAGGTATATAAATGAATTCGAAAATAAACAAATATAAAAGGTTTCCTTAAAGGTTTACATACCATTGACGCTCGGATGATGGAATAACTCCTACAGTCAATTGGGTTCCGATATTACGATACAATTAGTATATTTTGAACTTTGCAGTACCCTTTGTTTACCAAAACAAAATCGGTTTATAAAAACAGTTACTATCAGGGACGCACAATTTACATTTACAAGTATGAAAAGTAAAACCTTAAATTGGTTCGGAAATCCCCATATATCACGAAACATGTTATTCCACATTTGTGGCAGCATTTTCGATCTTGAAAGTAGAATTTAATAGTGCGTCCCCCATACCATAATACATTCTTAATTCTGTTTCAACACTTTATTGTAATAATTCATATTTTACAATACAATTTAGTGCAATTTTCATTTCTTGCAGGAATATTAAATCAACTCGGCTTTTAGAGCACTTCACGCTCATCCTTCTATTTCAATTCTTAACTGTGGCTCTATCTGCGAGAAACTTCTCTTTGTGCAATATAAAACAAAAATAAATTTGTGAGGTCCCACGCAAAATTTGGTTCCAATCGGTTAAGCCGTTTTGACGTTTATTGGACACAAACATACACCCAGAAAGTTTATTATACAGGGTTTCCTATATAATATAAAATCGTGTTATAGCTTTAAATTGCGATTTCTGGGACAAATCAGAAAATTTAAAAGGAAGAAATCATTTTAAACATTGTGTATTGCAAATTTAAAGATTTACATGCAGAAAATACTAGGTTTTTCGAGTGTTATGTGTGTATTCTAGCGTTAAAGCTTGGAGATAATCTAATATGATATGGGTAGATCTGTATACATACATCGCGCCCTTCTTTCTAGCCTTAGAGGGCGCTTCGCGCCCATCTTCTAAATTAGTTGTGAACATGTTCTCTTTGTGTACATCGTAAAACAAAACAAAAATAATTCGCGGATTTTTACAAAAAATTTTGCGGATTTTCAAAATTTTTAAAAATTTAATGACGACCGAATTTTGATAGAGACAAATATTTGAAATTTTGATTTTTCATAAACCTTCCCTGGGGTCCCTATATGTCCCACAAAAAATTTGGGCCCGATCGGTTCAGCCGTTTTGACAAACAGACAGACAAACAAACAAACAGACAAGCCAAATTTATATATAGATTTAATATAATTCTATAAAGTTTAAAAACTGAAACATATATATACATATATGAAAAATAAATATTTTTATGTAGAACAAATCGTACCTGCAAAACTACAAAATAAGACGACCTGTAACAAGATCTATAATTCTTAGTTTTTTCCCACTCTTTCAGGAATCTTTAGTCTTGTATAATATCTTCAAATGTATACCAGGATACAATATTGAAATTGAATTAATATATTTTAAAGATAAGTTTGGAAGAAAACAATAGAAATAAATTGTCCAGGCAGAGATCCTTACTATTTAAAGAAATACATGTCAGATCTCTGTAATTTCATAAGAGATGTCCTACATTGTATGTTCTACACAGGGTTACCCACAAAGGATGAGAATTTAATGACGACGTAAAACTCCTTATTTATGACGTCATTAACATTATAATATTTTATGTTTGCACAACAGTATTTGCCATAGAAAGCTTAAAGGGAATCAATTGAAGACAAATTTGTATTCAAATATTCTCCTACCTCTTAATCCTAAAACCCTGCCACTAAGTTAAAATGAAAGTAAATTAAAAGGATACATTTTTTCAGTGAAGCTTAGAAGAACTCTTTACTCTACGACGAACACACTGTTCCTTATCTCCCTTACTACAACCCTATCCTTAGGTAGGTTTATTCCTTTATCCTAGATATCTCTTACTACAACCCTATCCTTAGGTAGGTTTATTCCTTTATCCTAGATATCTCTTACTACAACCCTATTCTTTGGTAAGTTTATTACTTTATCCTAGATCTCTCTTACTACAACCCTATCCTTAGGTAGGTTAGTTCTTTATCCTAGATCTCTCTTACTACAACCCTATCCTTAGGTAGGTTTAGTCCTTTATCCTAGATCTCTCTTACTACAACCCTATCCTTAGGTAGGTTTAGTTCTTTATCCTAGATATCTCTTACTACAACCGTATCCTTAGGTAGGTTTATTCCTTTATCCTAGATATCACTTACTACAACCCTATCCTTAGGTAGGTTTATTCCTTTATTCTAGATCTCTCTTACTAACACCCTATCCTTAGGTAGGTTTATCCTTTATCCTAGATATCTCTTACTACAACCCTATCCTTAGGTAGGGTTATTCCTTTATTCTAGATCTCTCTTACTACAACCCTATCCTTAGGTAGGTTTAGTCCTTTATCCTAGATCTCTCTTACTACAACCCAATCCTTAGGTAGGTTTATTCCTTTCTTCTAGATCTCTTTTACTACAACTCTATCCTTGGGTAGGTTTAGTTCTTTATCCTAGATATCTCTTACTACAACCCTATTCTTAGGTAGGTTTATTCCTTTATCCTAGATATCACTTACTACAACCCTATCCTTAGGTAGGTTTATTCCTTTATCCCAGATATCTCTTACAACAATTACTACAACCCTATCCTTAGGTAGGTTTATTCCTTTATCCTAGATATCACTTACTACAACCCTATCCTTAGGTAGGTTTATTCCTTTATCCCAGAAATCTCTTACAACAACCCTATCCTTAGGTAGGTTTAGTTCTTTATCCTAGATCTCTCTTACTACAACCCAATCCTCTGGTAGGTTTTTTCCTTTATTCTAGATCTCTTTTTCTACAACTCTATCCTTGGGTAGGTTTAATTCTTTATCCTAGATCTCTCTTACTAGAACCTTATCCTTAGGTAGGTTTAGTACTTTATCCTAGATCTCTCTTACTAGAACCCTATCCTTAGGTAGGTTTATTCCTTTATTCTAGATCTCTTTATCTACAACTCTATCTTTGGGTAGGTTTAGTTCTTTATCCTGGATCTCCCTTACTACAACCCTATCCTTAGGTAGGTTTATTCCTTTATCTCAAATATCTCTTACTACAACCCTATCCTTAGGTAGGTTTATTCCTTTATTCTAGATCTCTTTTTCTACAACTCTCTCCTTGGGTAGGTTTAGTTCTTTATCCTAGATCTCTCTTACTAGAACACTATCCTTAGGTAGGTTTAGTACTTTATCCTAGATCTCTCTTATTAGAACCCTATCCTTAGGTAGGTTTAGTACTTTATCCTAGATCTCTCTTAATACATCATCATAAGGTATATTACCCTATATGTAGAAATGCAATGAGGTATATAGTTGGAGTAAATAACATCCAAATTTAAATATTTATTCCAAACTCGGAATAAATCATCCTTGCCAGTACTTTCACCTGTACCTACACATAAACAAGGTCCAGGTCCAGGTCCAGGTCCAGGTTTGTATCCATGTATAAACTCCAACTATGGAGAAGTCTGGACTCTAGAGTAACCACTAATCCTATTATATCCTGGAGAGGTGTTCAGAATACATGATTTTACCAACACAACCTTGGTCATTCTTCTACACAATTTCACCTTTCCATCCTTCTACACAATTTCCCCTTTCCATCCTTCTACTCAATTTCACCTCTCCTCCTTCTACACAATCCCCTCCCCCTCTCCTTCCTTCTACACAATCCCCTCCCCCACTCCATCCTTCTACACAATCCCCTCCCCCTCTTCATCCTTCTACACAATCCCCTCCCCCTCTCCATCCTTCTACACAATCCCCTCCCCCTCTTCATCCTTCTACACAATCCCCTCTCCCTCTTCATCCTTCTACACAATCCCCTCCCCCACTCCATCCTTCTAAACATTACCCTTCCCCTCTCCTTCCTTCTACACAATCCCCTCCCCCTCTTCATCCTTCTACACAATCCCCTCCCCCTCTTCATCCTTCTACACAATCCCCTCCCCCACTCCATCCTTCTAAACATTACCCTTCCCCTCTCCTTCCTTCTACAAAATCCCCTCCATCCCCACTCCTTCCTTCTAAACATTGTCCTTCCCCTCTTCATCCATCTACACAATCCCCTCCCCTCTCCTTTCCTTCTAGACAATCCCCTCCCCCTCTCCATCCTTCTACACAACCCCCCTCGCTCTGTTAACCTTTTATACGCAATGGATGCATAATAGAAAGAAAAAATGAAAGGATGAATGTATGAATGAATGAATGATCAGGAAACTCTGTGGATGGGTCTGGAGGTGAACCTGATTTTATCTCCGGAGTAAAGAACGTTACTGTACCGGAGGGACGGGATGTAACTCTCTCCTGCTCCGTCAGAAACCTTGGATCTCACAAGGTGAGGTTTATTAATTATCTAGGTTGAAGGGACTGTTTAGATGTTTGGGTAACATTATTCCTGTCTCAGATTTTGCTGTAACCTAATTAAAACCAAAACTATGAGAATTGTGATTTTCAGCGTCTTGATTTTTCGTGTTTCATTATGTCGTCTTCCATAATATATTATATCATTTTTGGGTTTCGCATTGCAGCACAAAAACTAAACTGATTAGATAGAATCTTTCTGGGAAAAAAATATTTAAATGATCGATAAATATATAAGGGTAACCCACAAAGGACGAGACTGAAAAAACTACCTAAACCTCACTAGATATATACAGGGTAACCCAACCAAGGACAAGACTGAAATAACTACCTAAAATTCACTAGATATAAAGATCTTAATATAATCTTTAACCCAAAACACACCCTTTAAATAACCTGCTAAATGAGTTCAAAGAAAAAACAAGTTTCCAGTTGCAGGTGTTCAAGTCTGTTAGAAAATGTCTTGATAAATTCCGCACAGTCGTCTCTGATTTTTCATAAAAAGAAGGATGTTAGAGTAGGGTTATTAGGTTTACTAATAAAGAAAGAAGGATGTTAGAGTAGTGTTACTAGGTTTACTAATAAAGAAAGAAGGATGTTAGAGTAGTGTTACTAGGTTTACTAATAAAGAAAGAAGGATGTTAAAGTAGTGTTATTAGGTTTACTAATAAAGAAAGAAGGATGTTAGAGTAGGGTTACTAGGTTTACTAATAAAGAAAGAAGGATGTTAGAGTAGGGTTTCTAGGTTTACTAATAAAGAAAGAAGGATGTTAGAGTAGGGTTACTAGGTTTACTAATAAAGAAAGAAGGATGTTAGAGTAATGTTACTAGGTTTACTAATAAAGAAAGAAGGATGTTTGAGTAGTGTTACTAGGTTTACTAATAAAGAAAGAAGGATGTTAGAGTAGGGTTACTAGGTTTACTAATACAGAAAGAAGGATGTTAGAGTAGGGTTACTAGGTTTACTAATACAGAAAGAAGGATGTTAGAGTAGTGTTACTAGGTTTACTAATAAGTCCACACTCTGTCCAGCCTTTGATCTTCAATCCTGGATATAGTTTACAAACCTTACTATCTATCCATACATCTCTCTATCTACCTACTTACTTACCTTTCTATCTATATATCTAACTATCTATTTGTCTATCTAACGACTTATCAACCTATACCTATCAATCTTGCTATATATATTCATATATATATATATCTACCTATCTATCCATTTACTTCTTTACTTTAATATCTACTTAATTACATACATAAATACCTAAACATACCTACCTTTCTAACTTCCTACTTGCCTACCAACTTACTTACCTACCTTCCTACCTACCTACCTACCTACTTACCCACAAATCTACATATCTCTAAACTTACTGTCTATGTATAATCCACATACCGTTACATTTACATATCTAAGCATGTAATTAGGTGTAAATATTTTATATCTAATCTCTGGTTAAATTAAACCATGAGCAGTTTCTCTCATAATATCCCGTACTTTTCCCTTTCTTTTATTCATATCTCATACTTTCCCCTTTCCCTCATAGTTTCCTTTACTTTCCCCTTTCCCTCATAATATCCTATACTTTCCCCTTTCCCTCATAATATCTCATACTTTTCCTCTTATAATATCCCATACTTTTCCCTTTCTTTTATTCATATCTCATACTTTCCCCTTTCCCTCTTCATATCCCATACTTTCCCCTTTCCCTCTTCATATCCCATACTTATATATCATACTTTCCCCTTTCCCTATTCATATATCATATGTTCTCCTTTCTATCTTTCTCACTCAAATTCAGAATTACAATGGCTAAATCCCAAGACACAAAATTATCTTGATTTCAAATATTTCAAATCAAAAATATTTTCAAAACTAAATTTTGCTCCGAGATATGACTGGACAGGTTGTCAGGAGGTAGATGGGTGGTTAGTTGGATAAAGAGTCTTTTATTGGATTGTTTGATGGTCTATTGTTATTTGGATTGTTGGTTTGTTGGATAGATAGTTGTTTTGTTAAAAGTTTGTTATTTGGATTGTTGGTTGGTTAGGTGAATGGTTGTTTGGTTAAATGGAATGTTATTTGGATTTTTAGTAACTCAGGTGGTTGGCTGTTTGGTTAAATAGATTTTTATTAATAGTTAGGTGGATGGTTAAATGGTTAAATGGTTTGTTATTTAGATTATTGGATGGATATTTGATAGCAGCTTAAGTTAAATGGTTTGTTATTTGGATTGTTGGTTGGTTAAGTGGATGGTTGGATGGTTGAATGGTTTGATATTTGGATTGTTGAATAGTTAGGTGAATTGTTGGTTGGTTGAATGGTTTGATATTTGTATTGTTGGATAGTTAGGTGAATTGTTGGTTGGTTGAATGGTTTGTTATTTGGATTGTTGGTTGGTTAAGTGGATGGTTGGATGGTTGAATGGTTTGATATTTTGATTGTTTAATAGTTAGGTGAATTGTTGGTTGGTTGAATGGTTTGTTATTTGTATTGTTGGATAGTTAGATGAATTGTTGGTTGGGTAAATGGTTTAAATGGTTTGTTATTTGTATTGTTGAATAGTTAGGTGAATTGTTGGTTGGTTGAATGGTTTGATATTTGTATTGTTGGATAGTTAGATGAATTGTTGGTTGGGTAAATGGTTTGTTATTTGTATCGTTGGATAGTTAGGTGAATTGTTGGTTGGGTAAATGGTGTAAATGGTTTGTTATTTGTATTGTTGAATAGTTAGTTGATTTGTTGGTTGATTGAATGGTTTGATATTTGTATTGTTGGATAGTTAAATGAATTGTTGGTTGGGTAGATGGTTTGTTATTTGTATTGTTGAATAGTTAGGTGAATTGTTGGTTGGTTGAATGGTTTGATATTTGTATTGTTGGATAGTTAGTATAGTTAGGTGAATTGTTGGTTGGTTGAATGGTTTTTTATTTGGATTGTTGGTTGGTTAAGTGGATGGTTGGATGGTTGAATTGTTTGATATTTGGATTGTTTAATAGTTAGGTGAATTGTTGGTTGGTTGAATGGTTTGTTATTTGGATTGTTGGTTGGTTAAGTGGATGGTTGGATGGTTGAATGGTTGAATGGTTTGATATTTGGATTGTTGAATAGTTAGGTGAATTATTGGTTGGTTGAATTGTTTGTTATTTGGATTGTTGATTGGTTTAGTGGATGGTTTAGTTGATTAGTTTGGATTGTTGTAATTTTTGATTATCATTATTGATGAATGAGCTATAAAAAAGGATGTATAATTATAACCAATAAGTATATATTAATTGGAAATTGTACTCGACCTAAAAATATAGTTATGGAAATTAAGAATAGAAAGATTGAAATTAGAAAAAGGAATATGAAGTTAAGGATAAATGAGCAGATGAGCGGATGAATAGATTGAAGGATGGATTAGTGGATGAATAGATGGCTAAACTGAAGAATGGATAAATGAATGAATGGAAGTAAGCAAGGTTTTCAATGAAACCGTTCCATCTAAAATTGTCAATAATCCTGGGAATAAAACATTCAATTTCACCAAAAATATTGGAGTTTAAGTAGACAACATTCTGAATGGGAATATTAAATAATATAATTACTGGTATTTTCCCCAACTTTCTTTGGAACAATTTTGATTGTTTTTCAAGTGTAAGCTTCTACTCTACTAAGATAAAAAAAAATGTAAAACATGCATTTTCAGTTTTATTTTACTATTTATAAATCCAAAAAAATTGTAATGCAGTGCAACTCCAACAGAAAAAAAGACATAAATTCCGCAGAAGGGAAACACTTAAAATTGGAGGAAAGTAGGAATTGCTATGGGAGTCCCTTGATACTCTCTACACCTCAACCCTACCTATTTGTCACAAACAACATTTGGAATTGATTTCTTAGTGGAAAAATGTTGTGGGCTCCATTTTAAGACCACTAGGCGTAACCAGGATTTAGACATGGAACTCAAAGTAAAATTACAGAAACCTACAAACAAGAAACAAGAAGAAAAAATAAAACTGAACTGGAAAAATGGTAGGGAACTCTCCTATGATAAGCTCTACACCATCAATTTTTTACCATTGGCGAATGGAGAAATCATTCGAGATAGGGCTGGGAGATGCCCCCCCCCCTCTCCATTTCACCTCCATTTCAGAAAATATATCAGAAGCAAGTGTTGAAGCTGAATCAACACTGCATTAACCTTCAGTTAGCTTGTCAAGTCAGGCATTCTTGAGTTAGGCAGTAAAACTGAAAACTACTACAACTACAATGGAACCGAGTGTCCCAATACATACTGGTTTGAACAAATTTTCATTTTCTTTCAAAACTATCAGAATCAGGGACAGTCAACAGAAGGAAAAGAAAAAAGGAAGGAGAGAAACGAAGACAAGAAGAAGAATCAAATCAGAATTTGTCTGTATGAACTGTTTCCAATTTATAAGATTAAAAATTTAAAAATAATAAATTATTAAAAAAATATTTACAGAAATATCTTTTCATTTTTTGTCTCAGTTTTCATGGGCGCATGCGGGATTTGCTTTAGTGCACGAACATAAAAATGCCTTGGTGACCTTCCCTTTAAATTAGATTTATCTAGGGTATTGGGAACAGCCCCCTTGACCCCCCCCCCAACCTGGAAACGTACTTTTACGCCCTGTTTGAATAGCAGAAAAATAAACTCTTAAAATCTTAGAATTTGAATTGATCAATCTTCGGTTGTTTTGGCAAGAGCTGAGAGCTGAGAGGAAAAAGAAAAAGGATTCTGATGCTTCATCTTTTATTCTTTTTATTCCGCACAATCTGCCATATTGTAATATTTTCATAAACTTGAGAAACCCCTAGTAGGAGATAACCCCTAGAGATAAACCATAGCGGGAGATAAACCATAGGAGGAGTTTAACACTAGCAGGAGATAACCCCTAGAAGGAGATAAACCACAGCCAGAGATAACACCTAGAAGAAGATAACCCCTAGCAGGAGATAAACCCTAGGAAGATAAAAACCCTAGCAGGATATAAAACTTAGAAGGAGAAAAACCCTAGCATGAGATAAAACCTTGCAGGAGATAAACCCTTGCAGGATATAAACTCTAACAGGATATAAACCATAGCAGGAGATAACCCCTAGAAGGAGAGAAACCCTAGCAATTGGTAAACCCTAGAAGGAGATAAACTCTTGCAGGAGATAATCCCTAGCAGGAGATAAACCCTAGCATGATATAAAACCTAGAAGGAGATAAACCCTAGCAGGATATAAAACCTAAAAGGAGATAAAACCTAGCATGATATAAATCCTAGCAGGAGATAACCCCTACCAGGAGAAAAACCCTAGCAGGATATAAACCCTAGCAGGAGATAAACCCTAGCAGGATATAAACCCTAGCAGGATATAAACCCTAGCAGGAGATAAACCCTAGCAGGAGATAAACCCTAGCAGGATATAAACCCTAGCAGCAGATAAACCCTAGCAGCAGATAAACCCTAGCAGGAGATAAACCCTGGCAGGATATAAACTCTGGCCGGAGATTTCAATTCTTTTGCAATCCACACCACAGCTAAAACGTATAGACCAGAGGGCGAAACCCTAGTTTTAGATATCACTTGGTATCATCTAGCTGATGAGAGAGACAGAAAATTTAGTGATAAATAACAACCAATGAGCGTCTTTAACCGCTAAAACACAGCCAATTGTCTGACTTGTGGCTAGGGTTTAACTACCAATGACTTAAAATCATAGATTTTAGACAGAAGTTTTCTCTTAAAATAAAGTTAGAAAATGAGGTTGAAGAAATCCCTTTTAAAATGATTATCGATTAAACTAAGAATGCAGGACCGTGGTTTTGTTTATCAGCAAACTTTAGTTGATAACATTAAGGAACTATTGGAGAAATGCATCTGTTTACAGTAGAACTCTGATTGATCCTGACTACAGTGAAAAGTTGTATCAATTTTTGAGAATATTGGTCGACGTTGAAGTGTCACAACGCCTTGAATTTTGATTTTACATAACTAACTTGCTTATACTTTTTTTTAGACCGAGACAGTACATTTTAGAACTAAAAAACACTTGTTTTTAGCTTTAGTTGTTAGAAGTAATTGTCAAAATTTTCATCAAATTTTGCCTAAGAGCATGCAACCTTTAGATCACTGTAAACTATCAAACCTAATAACTTAATCTCAATCTTAAAGAACATACAAAGAATCCTAATGTAAAGATAGTTATTTCAGAAGTATACGCATTTTTAGTACGGCTGTGTACTTCTCCGGGCTGTAAAGTAAACACATGGAATCCATTTTTCACATGAAAAAAAACAATGAAATATTCTGGTCATAGGAACCTTTCATGTGAATTATCAAAATGTTCAAAATTGAATGCTTTTATCCTCCTCGGATACTAAACGTACACTGATGCATCTATTCTTCTTTACAAACACCTCCCAGAGAGAACTGTTTTCAATATGTATGCAGAGAATACGCAACAGAAATTAACTTTCCTTGCCTTATTACCTTGGGAACTTAAACCAAGATCCCTAATGTTTGTTTACAAAAAATTGTCTGGGAGGGGTAGGAACAAACTTGGTTGTTTATATTCCTTCTAGAGACAGATTTACAAATTTGCTTAAACGAAGACATGAGGGTTCCAGGTGCCGTAATCGTTTAAATATTTTTAAGCAAAAAAATGTTTAAGAAATAATTCATAAAACTTTTTCAGACAAAAATCTTAGATAGTGCTTTAAAGATACTTCACAATCTAGCATCTTGTTAGCGCTGTTTTAACGTTTTTGATCCATTGCAGACGAGAAAACTTATATTTATATATGTATTGATCACAGATTAAAGAAATATATAGCATATAGAATGGTAGCTAGTAAAAGACTAAAATAAGATTAATTACTGTTAACGATGTAATGAATGTAAGTTTACAACAAAACTCCCCAGGGATATTTATACTAATATACAATAATCAGACAACTTTATATCTTCTTCTTATCTTCTAACATTACTTAGAATATCCTTGGGTCTATTCAACCTTAACAATAACATAATTTTAAATGAACCAAGGTACGATTCACAACAGCACCTTTTAAACATTTGTTTGAACAAAAATGATGTGAGTTATTCCTTTTGTAAAAGCCACTTACAGATCCATGCAACAAGAAAAAAAGATTCAGCTATTGGGCCTCTTAGAAACTATTTTGAAATTGATAAATATTGAAATATTCTATTGTTGAATTATGATATTGTACGAAGTGAAAATTGTCAGAAACAAAAGAAAACCAAAGAGTTAAGATTAGCACTTGGAGATTAGTGATTTATTTTATAGAAAGTTATAACTTTCTTCCATATTTTATATTTTCTCTGCACCAAGTTTCTTAGATGCAAAAACAATATTAGGTAATAAAGATATGGAATTATTAGTCGAGAAAATGGGAAAAGGATTTTCTATTTTCTAAAACCGAGATTCTAGAATCCTTCAACTATATATTCCAGCAGAATCTAATTAGTTCAGATCAGGGTTGAGATTAATTTAAACTTTATTCTGTTAAACAACAGTCCTATATACACCCACTGTGTTAAACACCAGTCCTAGATACACTCTGTTAACCACCAGTCCTATATACACCCACTGTGTTAAACACCAGTCCTATATACACCCATAGGTAGGGTTNTCCTATATACACCCACTGTGTTAAACACCAGTCCTAGATACACTCTGTTAACCACCAGTCCTATATACACCCACTGTGTTAAATACCAGTCCTATATACACCCACTGTGTTAAACACCAGTCCTATATACACCCACTGTGTTAAACACTAGTCCTGGATACACTCTGTAAAATACCAGTCCTATATACACCCACTGTGTTAAACACCAGTCTTATATACACCCACTGTGTTAAACACTAGTCCTGGATACACTCTGTTAAGCACTAGTCCTATATACACCCACTGTGTTAAACACCAGTCCTAGATACACTCTGTTAACCACTAGTCCTATATACACCCACTGTGTTAACCACCAGTCCTATATACACCCACTGTGTTAACACTAGTTCTGGATACACTCTGTTAAGCACCAGTCCTATATACAGCCACTGTGTTAAACACCAGTCATGGATACACTCTGTTAAGCACCAGTCCTATATACAGCTCTGCTAAAATAGTCCTGGATACACTCTGTTAAACACTAGTCCTGGATACACTCTGTTAAGCACCAGTCCTATATACAGCCACTGTGTTAAACACCAGTCATGGATACACTCTGTTAAGCACCAGTCCTATATACAGCCACTGTGTTAAACACCAGTCCTGGATACACTCTGCTAAACACCAGTCTTGGATACACTCTGCTAAAATAGTCCTGGATACACTCTGTCAAACACTAGTCCTGGATACACTCTGATAAACACTAGTCCTGGATACACTCTATCAAAAACCAGTCCTGGATACACTCTGCTAAAACCAGTCTTGGATACACTCTGCTAAAATAGTCCTGGATACACTCTGTTAAACACTAGTCCTGGATACACTCTGATAAACACTAGTCCTGGATACACTCTGCTAAACACCAGTCCTGGATACACTCTGCTAAACACCAGTCCTGGATATACTCTGCTAATTATAGGATAAACTCAGGATCTATTCTAATCTAAATTGTCTTTAGGTTGCTTGGATACACTATGACAGATCAGCAATTCTAACGGTACAGAACAATGTTATCACAAGGTATATTTTCTAGTCAATCATCCAACCTGGGACCAGATTTAATAAGCAGCAAGAAATAGCTGAACCATGTATCGGTAGTTCAGCCTCTTTTCTTGTGCTAAAGTTTAAGCTGAAGAAAAGTGGTTGAACCAAGTCCAAGTGGTTCAGCCGTGTCTCCCAACTTAATAAATCTAGTCCCTAATGTTTTAAAGTCGAGCTTAATCTTGGACTGATGAAAGGTGTTTGCCTCGTGAGTTTATTTTTAGAAATATTTGAGATTTAAGAATTTTGATTCAGGAATCCTCGTATTGGGGTATCTCACGACGGAGTTAGTGTTTGGAATCTACATATCAAAGATGTTGAACGCTCTGATGAAGTAAGTTTCCCGGGACTAAACAATGCAAAACTAAAAGATCAAAATCGTTAACTTTCGATTTTTAAATCGATTTTGCTCATGTCAAAAAGTTATTAATTGGGGAAAAAATCATAATAAACTTATGTGTTTTACAAAACGAAGTTTTCGGTGATTTGGAACAGAATTTGCAAAAATAACGCAAAATTTAGTTCTGTACAGTGAACATTGTACAACATGAATGGTACATAATTCTGATCATAAATAATATATTGCAGGGTCAGTACATGTGTCAAATAAACACAGCTAGAGCAAAGACCCGGCTTGGAAACCTTCATGTTGTAGGTAGGTTCATAAACATTTCATGTTCAAAATAATTGTTTGTATGTAAATAGTACATAAATATGTTTATTCTACGAGCTAAATAATAGATGAGTAATTCGTCCTTTTTGATTAGAGTTTAAGTTTACACTTACATCAATCATTTTTTCATTCTAAATCTAATACTTAAGACAAATTCAACTCTAAAATGCTTAAACAAGATTAAAAGCTTTATCTAACCCAATTATAACGTTTCGACAAATATTATGAAATGATTTGTAGAGGTGAGTTCTTTGTACATTCTGTATTCCATTTAATGTCTATGTACTTTTTAGTCATAGATTTATTTTACATTTCTCAAAATGTGAAAAAAGAGAAAGCTTCAAATATGTCAGTTCTTGACAAATTACTATAACCAACTTTTTCAAAAATATGTTTTTTCAAGAGATTTGAATGGATTTATGTATATTTGTTTTTATTCCAGTACCTCCCCGTATCCTGGACGGGTTGAGCTCCAGTGATATGGTTCAGACAGAGGGATCTAATGTTAGGAAACCAAATTCAAGCAATCCATATCTTCCTTGAAGACATTTAAAAATCTGTAATTTTGGCGTCCAATTTTAAATTCTAAGGGACTGTTAGCGTAGTATCAAGTGATCCTCCATCACCTTCCATGCAAATGTCCGATTTACAACTGTACCCTTAAAAGCTTTGTCTAATTAAGTATGAACTATATATATATATATAAATGTTTATGATTATTTCCAATTGTGGTTTCTCTACAGAATTCACTTGCGCATTTATACGGCAAGAAGTTTTTTTGTAATTTTGAGAATTAAACACTTTAACCTTAGAAAAACGACAAGATCTTCCGAATAATTTAGCATATACACTATACAGGTTTCAAGCTTGGTTACCGTTCACCCACGGACAGCCGTAGTACATTGGAGTTTCCGAGCCGGGTCAACCTTTCCGGTCCTATTTTGTACTGTATCGCCCGGACATTGGGTAAATAAAGCAGACACTGAATAGGACTAGCTGGTGCAACAGGGTTGACGCGGTCAGACATCAGGTTGAATTTACTTTTACGTAAGGGTCAGAGGTGCATGCACCGTTCACCTCATTAAGTATTAAGAAGGTTTTAACAGCAGAGACACCTGAGGTTTTTTCAAATTCCGAAAGTAGACATGTCTAGAACTAGCACATGGATTTTTAGAAATTCCTGTCGAGCCCTTTTTCAGAAAATTCCATTTAAATTTTGTTGTGTAGTTTAGACTGAAAAAATGCGTTTGACTTAAAGGTTTTCATGAGATGATTTGGCAATACAAAGTGTTTTAAGCTTTTCTGCTTAATTATTATCATCAAATGATAAATTTATCAATGTAGAATTACTAAATCGAAGGAAAAAACCAAATAATCAATTATTCACAGGGTTTAAACCTCAAATGGTAAAAATTGAAGCACATTTTCGTTAAAGGTTTAAATAGTTCAGAGCTCATTAACCAGGTAAAGCTTATTTGAATCAGGCGGAGCCATCATTCCATGGAGGTTCACTCAAAATTATACTTTCCTTAAATCTTTTATATTTTAGAGGGAAAATTTAAAAATATTTAGCCGGATTTAAGCAGAGAAGAGAAGAATGTTTGATTCTTCAATTTTACACTCTTGGAAGTTTGGGTTTAAGATAAAGGTTAGCTCCGTCCTAGTACTGGATTTAAAGTTAAAGTTAGCTCCGTCCTAATTCTGGGGTTAAAGTCAAATTTAGCTCCGTCCTAATTCTGGGTTTAAAGTTAAAGTTAGCTCCGTCCTAATTCTGGGTTTAAAGTTAAAGTTAGCTCCGTCCTAATTCTGGGTTTAAAGTTAAAATAGCTCCGTCCTAGTTCTGGATTTAAAGTTAAAGTTAGCTCCGTCCTAGTACTGCGGGAACATTTGTGAAATCTTTAATCTTAGTTTTACATACACAATAGATTAAAACGGTAATATCAAAATTAAAATCACAATTGATAAAGTTTTTGAAAAAAAGATTCTGTTTTTAACACCAAAAATGGGTTGGTTAGTCTGGAGCGTGTATCTGATATTAGTATCCTAGTATTGTATTGTATATGGAGCTAATGGTTTGGTTAGTCTGGAGTGTGTATCAGCTGGAAGTCCTGATCCAAGTATTATCTGGAGAAGAGAGGACGGAAAACTTATGAATATAAATAAAAATGAATCAGGTGAATCTCCATAAATTCAATATTTCATTATTTTAAATTGTTTTCTTTACAAGACACAAAAAAGTTGAAATCATAAAAATATCCAGGTAAAAAAATCCTAAAGATTTGTGCTTATCTTTAAAGCATCATGCACAATTTTTGGTAATTTATTTTTTCCATCAGGAGAAAATATACATGGTGTCTCAAAAGAAAAACGGGGAATAAAGGTCTGCAGACTCGTTTAAATACGGATTTTCAAGATTGAGACCATTTTTAAAAATTACGTACAATTTTCGATTCAAGGAGCAATCACAATTTTAAAGGCTCCTAAAGTTTCCCACTGGAGTTAGCAAATTTGGTAAAAATAAAATAATCTCCGTTTGCAAATTTTGAATGAGTGTTTGCCCTCTACAGACTTGTTTGTAATCGGATTTTTATGATTGAGAATATTTTTTATATTTACGAACAATTTCCGATTCAATGAGTCAAATTTTAGGCTTGTAGATTTGAAAATAACAATTTTATAAGCTTCTAAAGTTTCCAACTGGTGCTTGTAAACAGTAAAAGATATCTCCGTTTGTATAATTTTGTATTCAATGTTAGGTTACAGTTTATTACAATTTAGTTTACAGTTTACTGTAATCTTATTAAAAATGTCAACCACTAGCTGCAAGTCACTTTTGGGCCCTTGATATAACTTCAAAAATAACCTTTTGGGAGACAGTAGGGTCTAGGGCAGCTATTTCTCTCCTGATTTTGACTTCAAATTCGTAAAGTTAATGAGGCTTTTGGGTGCAGGACTCTAAAATTTTTATTTTTAGATCTAACAGCGTTAAATTTCTAACGAGTCTGTAGACCCTTATTCCCCGTTTTTTGAGACACCCTGTATATAAAATTTTTGCTGATTTTTTCACAGAATTAGAATTTACTCTTTAAGATCAGAAAGAATTCGATTCATTTTTCCATACAGTTGGGTAGATATATTCATTTTTGATATAGTTGGGTAGATGTATTATTTTTTTCCAACCCCAAGCTTTAACAATACTTTTGCTGAACATTGGAAATCCTATGTACAGTGTACGGTACACAACGATTTGTTTCTTTATCTTCATAAATTGAAAGTACTTACAACATTGTACATTTAAACCATGAGTTGACGATGTACATAAATATATAATTTATTGAACAGTTGAGGAGGTTGAGGGGCATGTACTGAAGCTATGGAAGGTGAGCAGGATGGATATGGGAGCGTACATGTGTATCGCCAGGAAAAAGAAAATTATTTTTAAACTCTCTAATTTATTTAACAACAAACATAACCAAAAATTTCAATGATGATTTACAAGAAAAAAAACGACTTCAAGTTAATATAATTTTCTTGACCAGGAACGGTGTTCCACCTTCTGTCAGTAAACGGATTCAACTTGGTATAGATTGTAAGTATTCAGCAGAATGTAAAAATGTGGAAGATTTATTTATTTTCACTAATGCTTCATAATCTCAAAAGTAAAAATTTGAAAAGTTAAAATATTTCAGTTAAAAACATAAAAACTTAAATCTAGAACAATCCAATTTTTATAGTTCTACGAGTTCCAGAGTCTGAAAATTTCAGCAAAATCTTTTTTTTAAAATCTCAAATTTGATACATACATTTCAAATTTGATATATACATTTCAAATTTGATATATACATTTCAAATTTAATATATCCATTTCAAATTTGATATATACATTTCAAATTTGATATATACATTTCAAATTCGTACTCTTAATAAAATTAGGAATAATATATACCCNGTGCAGTACGGTCAATGTTTGTAAACAAAACCGGACCAGAATAAACAGCAAATCAAGGAAATAGGGGCGTTCAATTTTCTTATGTTAATTCATTAAACCACAAAAGATCGCGATATAAAACTCGCGAAACACTGGCCCAAAACGGACGAAAAAAAAGAGAGAAAATTTACTATTACAATTTTGATAATTAGACAATGTATTTAATCAGAATCAGGTACTAGTTTATGAAGTCGTCAACTGCATCACTTTATCTCTGGACTCGTTCAAGTGCATCTAAGAAGTATCAACTCTCCTTCACTGGAACCCTGCTTTAACCAGCCAGAACACTGGGATTATTATTTGTCCAATCAGGACACATTAAACCTGCTTTGACCAGCCAGGACACTGGAATTATTATTTGTCCAATCAGGCCACATTAAAACTGCTTTTACCAGCCAGGACACTAGGATTATTATTTGTCCAATAAGATATCATTAGACCAGGAGATCACATTGGTCTGGTTTTTCTTCTTTTTCTACTTGGAATTTGCAATACAAGCATGGTCACCCTGGCTAGTTAGTGACATTGAGGTTTTAGAAAGAGTTTTTGCTGTGCTATTAAGAACTGTGTTATGTAGCAACTGGATGAGTAACATAGCGGAGAAGTCACAGTTTCCATAGGGCCACAAAGACGTTTGCACCATAGACCAAGAGGTCTCCTGCGTACCACCATAAAAGTAAACAATTAAGTAAGACCAAGGGATCTCGCCAGACAATGGGATCTCACCAGACCAGAAGATTTCATTAAGACAGGGATCGCCCATTAAACAGGGATCGCAACTCATCTCGGAATCGCAACATGTCTCAGGATCGCAACACGTCTCAGGATCACAACACTTCTCAGGCTCACCATTCGTCTCAGGCTCACCATTCTTCTCAGGCTTACCATTCTTCTCAGGCTCACCATTCTTCTCAGGCTCGCCATTCTTCTCAGGCTCACCATTCTTCTCAGGCTCTACAGGACAACTCTGTGGAACAGGACAACTCTGTGGAACAGGACAACTCTGTGGAACAGGACAACTCTGTGGAACAGGAAAACTCTGAAGGAGATTTCTGAACATTTGAAAACTCCTGGGAATAGGAAAACTTGGTGTCCGGGATTATTGGTGTGACCATTAGGAGCAGAAGCTCCTCTGAATAGGAAAGTTCTATCATTGGGTACATTGGATCCAAGGAATTCTTTAGTTCGTCCTGATTATTGGGAACATCGGGAGTAAATTGGAAACATCCAGAAGAGAATTAGGAACATCCAGGCGAGAATTAGAAACATCCAGAAGAGAATTAGGAACATCCAGGAGAGACTTAGGAACTTCTCGGAGAGACTTAGGAATATCGAGGAGAGAATTAGGAACATCCAGGATAAAATTAGGAACATCCAGGAGAGCATTAGGAACATCTAGAAGAGGCTTAGGAATAGGAACCTCCGGGAGAAAATTTGAAACTTCCTGCTTGCCCAGGGAGCAGGTTTTTAGAGGACATTTCTCTTGTAGAGGAGCAATTGTGTATAAATGTTTCGCGCCGGTCGATGACTTATAAGTTAACATGAAGGACTGAAATGTTTTCTCTCAGAACGAAAGGTACAAAACGGTAGAAGGAAAAGTTTATTCATCTTCAGGTGTTTATACACTAAAAATACATAATAATTAGAAAAATATAAATAATGTTGAACTATTTACATATAAAAGTTTTAAGAAATTAGTATTAATTACATACTAATGACGCTCTGGGGTACAATTAGATCCTTCAATTATACAGTCAACACTGACTGGTGTAAGGATAAGTTTATATATCGTGCAGTACGGTCAATGTTTGTAAACAAAACCGGACCAGAATAAACAGCAAATCAAGGAAATAGGGGCGTTCAATTTTCTTATGTTAATTCATTAAACCACAAAAGATCGCGACATAAAACTCGCGAAACAACACTTATGCACTCCACACTCTACCCTTTTTAGTCTTTACTCTACACTTAATATTTTACATTCTACACTCTACACTCTACACTCCATACACACTCTACACTCTATACACACTCTACTCTCTACACTCAACACTCTACACTCTACACTCTACACTCTACACTCTACACTCTACACTCTATACACACTCTACACTCTAGCACTCTAAACTCCACACTCTACCCTTTTTAATCTTTACTCTACACTTAATATTTTACATTCTACACTCTACACTCTACACTCTACACTCTACACTCTACACTCTACACTCTACACTCTACACTCTATACACACTCTACACTCTACACTCTACACTCTACACTCTACACTCAACTCTATACTGTTAAGGAGTTTAACATTATCTTTATACTTGAATATGTGTTCTGAGAGTTCAAAAGAGAAATCATGTGTCTATCTGAATATTTCACTTCTAACATTCATTGAACCATGTTCTAAACCCTCGTCAATAACATCTTGCTTAGCAACTATAAACCCTCCCTGCCTAACGGGACTTTTTCAAACTTTATAAACACCCTTAAGAAAACGAACGGTGCAAACTTTATAAACCTAAAATGTATGTTAATAGTTATTATGCTGCAAAATTAACCTTTTGTATAAAAATGAATAAGAACTTTAGTGAACACCCTTAACGGCTTTAAAATCCAGGTCACAGGGCAGACATGGTTTAGAAACTATAGAACATACATATTTGCAGGCAGTCCTAGGAACAGTCCGGAGACAGACACACCTCTCTGGAGTCCAAATCATCGGACCACGAACTTAGGCTCAATAAAATAAGACAATTTATTAAACATTTATTAATAGGCTCCGGCCTCGATATAACAGGAATAAGGCCTGCTATTAGTCCACCTAGGATTCACATCCTACCCATACTATTTAGGAATTTGCAGGCTTGACCCCCATGGCGATTCCAACTTTCTCCTAACTGGTGGTCCTAATCCCACTCATATCATCTGTCCGACCCAGGATTCGCATCCTAATCTTGTTTACTGCAGGATATTCACGGATTGCGAGTATAAGCCTCCATGGTGATTCCAAACTCTATTCTAACTGGTGGTCCATATCCTCCGCCCGACACCTGTCCAAATTCCAGAATCATCTCCTAAAATATCAATAATTAAATCTTTAATCATTTCAATAAATATTAAAGAAAAAGTCCTCTACCCGTTTATTTCTTTAATAATACACACTCTACACTCTACACTCTACACTCCATAAACACTCTACACTCTACACTCCATACACACTCTACACTCTACACTCTACACTCCATACACACTCTACACTCTACACTCCATACACACTCTACACTCTACACTCTACACTCTATTCACACTCTACACTCTACACTCCATACACAATCTACACTCTAGCACTCTACACTCTACACTCCATGCACACTCTACACACTACACTCCATGCACACTCTACACTCTAGCACTCTAAACTCTACACTCTGCACTCCATGCACACTCTACACTCTACACTCCATGCACACTTTACACTCTAGCACTCTAAACTCTACACTCTACACTCTACACTCTACACTCTACACTCTACACTCTACACTCTACACTCTAGCACTCTAAACTCTAGCACTCTAAACTTTACACTCTACACTCCAAAGTCTACTCTCTACAATCTACAAGCTGCACTCTACACTCTGCATTCTACACTCTAAACTCTACACTCTACACTTTACACTCTATACTCTACACTCTACACTCTACACTCCAAACTCTACTCTCTACATTCTACATGCTGCGCTCCACACTCTGCATTCTACACTCTAAACTCTACACTTTACACTCTACACAACACGACTAAGGTTTAAACTCTTGTATGTTCTTCAAAGTTTAAAATACTTTAATGTAACAATTCAGGGGACATTGTTCTAAACTTTGGTTGTTAACATTAATCTGTTTATGTGTAGCAGAGCCAGAGCAGAACCAACAGAATAAAAGGGGAACCAAAGTTGATGGAAAATGGGGGCAAACAAGAAATGGGGGTGTTGTGGGGGGGCATGGAGTTAAATGTTTAATAAAGAATTGTTGAATGAACAGGACGGAGAAATGATTCATCAAGACGATCATTTTACCATCACACAATCCAGAGGATCTCCTGCATACAAGGTAGATCTAAACTAATCACACAGTCCAGAGGATCTCCTGCATACAAGGTAGATCTAAACTAATCACACAGTCCAGAGGATCTCCAGCATACAAGGTAGATGTAAACTAATCACACAGTACAGAGGATCTCCTGCATACAAGGTAGATCTAAACTAATCACACAGTCCAGAGGATCTCCTGGATACAAGGTAGATCTAAACTAATCACACAGTCCAGAGGATCTCCTGCATACAAGGTAGATCTAAACTAATCACACAGTCCAGAGGATCTCCTGCATACAAGGTAGATCTAAACTAATTACAAAGTCCAATGGATCTCCTGCATACAATGTAGATCTAGAATTATCGGAATTGTTTTCAGCAAACCTGTTTTCCTTTGATTTCTCGGTTATTTCAACAAGACATTTAAATAAATCAATATTAAATCATGTATTTTAACTGTTTCTTGTTCAGTGATTTATTATGAATTATTTGCAAACTAAAAAGTCGTAATCATTAGAAAATCATTATTTTTTGTTCTTTAAAATCTAATTCTTTAGGTTGAAATGAGCCTTGTAATAACAAGCATCAGGAATACAGATTTCGGGAAGTATAAATGTGTTGCGAAGAATCCAAGAGGACAAACAGATGGAACAATCTCCTTATACGGTAGGGTACACACGGTACACGGCAAACGGTCACTGTACATGGTTTAGAGGACGGTGTAGATGCGGAGTAAGGAATAGATGCTAATATAGACGGAAATGAGGGGAAGGAAGTAGATAATAATAAGAATGGAAATGCAGTGTAGGAAGTAGATACTAATAAGGGCGGACATGCGGATGAGACGGACTAGAAAAAAGGAGATGAGTGGAGAGAACCAGATTATTAAAAAATATGGATGTCGAGTGTCGATGGAGAGAAATTAATGTAGAGAAAATTGTGACGAAGGAAACAGATGCGGAGAAGGAAGGAGACGCTGAAAACGAACAAGTGGAGAAAAAGAAGACGGAGATCGAAAGATTCATCCGGAGTAGGACGGGGATGTGGAGATTGGAACAGAAATTAAATAATGCAGAAGATGAAGAAAATGTACAAAATATAAGTCGGAGATGTGAATAAGGAGAAAGAAGCAAGAGAAATCGGAAAGAGAAAGGAAGGGGAACTAGGAAAGGACTGGATTCGAAGAAGGACGGAGATGTGAACAAGAATGAGGATTTAGGGATGAAAGAACGGGGATGTGGAGAAGGAAGGAAATGCGTAGAAGAAAAGAGATGTGAAGACTAAATAGATTTTAAAAGGAAAAGGAAGAAGAAAAGGAGACCATGTGAAAAAGGACGGAGATATTGAAAAGGACGAGAGTGCAAGGAAGAACGAGGATGCTTAGAAGGAGGAAGATGCGTAGAAGAAAAGAGATGTGGGAACTAAAAAAAAATCTAGAAGGAAAAGGAAGTAGAAAAGGAACCATGTGAAGGAGGGCGGAGATATTGAAAAGGACAGGGGTGCAAGGAAGAAGAGAAGAAATGAGATGTGGAGACTGAAAAAAGGAAGAGGAACTTGACAAGGACGTGATGCAGTGAAGGACGGAGATGCGGAGAAGAACCAATATATGAAGTAAAATGAGTTTTAGAGAAAGAAATGATATATATAGAAGGAACATTTAGAGGAAGGAATAAGGATGAAAGTTAGAGATGTTCTGATAGAAGGAGAAAATAAGAAGAAGTTTCCTGTGTATGGCTTAGGAATTAATATTAGTAGCTTCAACCTTGTTTCACTAAAGTTAGGTTCTGGTTCTCAGGATGTGAAGGCTTAGAGAGTAGACGAAACTTCTCGGGGACATTTTCTCTTCCTACAGAAGCAAAATATTTATGATTTAATAGTTTTCTTTTAATCTCCGCCCTGGTTCTGGGTTCTCCGGGTTCTGTAGGATTTATGAATGTTCTTACCGTGAAAGCTGTCAGGACGTCAGGGTTAATAGTTTCGAGGATATTTTCTAATAAAGAAAACAGAGACCAGCCATTATAAATCATCAGAATTCATCTATTAATCTTGAATATGGAACCCTGAAATATAAATATAGGACCCAGAACCTAGAGAATCAAACATCAACCGGAGAATTAATCTGGAACTTAGAAACTTGAAACCTAGAAATTACAAGCTGAAAAATAAACCGTAGAATAATAAACATGGAAAGGATCAGATTATAACAGAATCTATTTCTAACCTTTATATCATTGAATATTATTTATAAAAGTACCTTAATAAGTCTAAAATCTTGACCCTAAACCTAGAACCTAGAATCGTTTAATATCTTGAACCAAGAACACTAAATCGAAAACCCTGAACCTGGTATATATGAAGAATATAATGCAACAAAGAACCTTAGCATAGAACACCTAAAATCTAAAACTAAGAACAAAGCAGTCAGTTTTAAATCGGTTCCGACCAAAAATATAGTTAAAACCTCAAGCAAATGCTGAAGTTAAGACATAAAATAAATCAGCATTTTATAATTTTTCTTTTGTTTAGAAAAGAAGCGCCCCTCTACAATACCACAAGCAACAACAACAACATTGAGAACAACAACTCTACTAGCCTATAAGGTTCGGTTCGATCACCAGGTCAATTCAGGTAAACAGATTATGGGGAAGGCAAGGCTGCCACGCAATTTCTCTCTCAGAGCCACATTTCAGCAACATTCGCTCTTTCATACCACAACCTTTCTGGTCTTCCTTAATTCTGTAAATCTTTTTAATAAACGTTATGAAAATTATGTTTTTAAAATTTGCGTCTTTTTTTTTGCACTGAAAATAGCTTGGAATCTTCGCAACGAATGTTCACTTTAAGTATAATGAAAAAAATCAATGTAAAGTTTGTGTACTGTTTAGAAACTATTGGTTCATGTCAGATTCTTCTAGTTTCTTGGCCTACAAAAACCTTCGGCTACAATACCCTACGGATATATCTAAGATGAAATTTATAAATGATTCAGATGTAGTTGAACTAGCTACGAATGGTTCAACCACTTCTTCAAAGGGAAGTTAATCAATCTGATGAGCTAGTCACATATCCTGATCTATTATAGGGTTTCAAGGCACCGCGGTAGTTTAAACTGTCAAAGGGGAATGTTTAGGCAAAAATAACAAATGGTAAAAATGACGCTTTTTAGTCTCAGAAAGTTCTAATATTCTATGATTTCATTTTTGTAAAAGGGAATTGAGTTTTTGCCACAAACTCTTTCTAATCACTTTATATTTGCAATCCTTTGGTGTAAACCTTTAGTGTAAACTTTTGATTATTTCAAACTTTGGTGATTTGATCTAATTCATAGTTTGAAATATTTAAGTTCTACGATATTGGGTTGCAAATGTATAGAGAGGAGAAAATAAGACTTTGTGGCAAAGACTCAATTCCTTTAACAGGTAAAATTAGTTGTTAATGATTACTTAAACCCATGTTGACAATCCTGTTCAAGATAAATGAAAAGCTTCAAAGCATCATCAACCGTCTATGTTGCAAATTTACTTCTGCACTCACTCTGCACTCTGCAAATATCCAAATATGCAATCTTCTTGAGAATTTAGGTTTGCCGACTTATAGAACAGAGAAGAGGTGATTAGAGAAAAACTTTCTCTTGTCCTGCTGACGATTCAATTGTTTAGGAGAAAGGGATAAATCTGGGTTCAATCCGATCAATCAAGGAGATAGACGTGGAAACCAAGGGAACAGTGGACAGTTTAGATTCGAACAAACTGAACAAGGTAATCCACCAGGAACTGGAACAGGAACAACGAACAGGAACTGGAACAGGAACTGGAACAGGAACTGGAACAGGAACTGGAACAGGAACTGGAACAGGAACTGGTACAGGAACTTGAACAGGAACTGGAACAGGAACTGGAACAGAAACTGGAACAGAAACTGGAACAGGAACTGGAACTATAATGATAAATGAACTGTATGGTGTAGATATTGGTTTGTATGTGCTGTTGGTATGGACCAGATGGTCTACATTATAATATCTAATATCTATACTCATCTAACCTTATGTTTACATTGCTCTATCCTGCAGTAAAGGATTCGGAATAAAAAATATATGTAAGGAAAAAAATTACTGATCCCAGCATGCTATTACTACAGGGATTGTAGAAAACAAAAAGAAACGGGAAAAGTACAAGAGAATAAAAATGGAGATTTTTAGAAGCAAAACATAGAAGGAAAGGCAGGATTACAGAAAAAGAAAATGAAGGATTATAGGAGAAGGAAAGGGAGGATTATAAGAGAGAAAATGGAAGATTTTATGAGAAGGAAAGAATGGCTTTTAGGAAAGAAAGGAAGAAATGTAGGAGAAGGAACTGCAGAAAAGGAAGGATTGTTATGGAATGAAAGGAAGGATTGTACTAGAATAAAAGGAAGGATTGTACTAGAATGAAAGGAAGGATTGTACTAGAATGAAAGGAAGGATTGTACTAGAATGAAAGGAAGGATTGTACTAGAATGAAAGGAAGGATTGTACTAGAATGAGAGGAAGGATTGTACTAGAATGAAATGAAACAATGAATGAAAATGAAAGGATAACTTATAAAGAAATAAAAAATTGAAAAATTGAAAAATTAAACGAATAAAATATGTTGGCCTGCAGTAGAATAAAAAGAAATAAAGAAGCAAAAGGACGGTCTAGAAAAATTAAGAAATAATATATTGAAAGGAAATATAAAACTGTAGAAACAGGATAAAATTAGGTTTAACTTAAAATAGAGAAGAGAAAACTCCAGGGAATTTATGCAGAGAAATATTAGAACATGCTCTTTACCGTTCCTTCCCTCTAGTAGATATCATCAGAAACTAAACAAAAAGTTTTTAGATCCAATCCTCCAATCCTCCAATCCTTTTAGAACAGAGTGATTTTGAATTTGGGAAAACCATAGAAGGTCTTTAAAGTAATTTTGAAAAACATAAACAAGATTGTAAAAATCTGAATTGGTAGAATGCACAACTTGAAAGTAGGAAATATATTTCTATATGTTTTTCAACATTATTATCAGTCCTAGGACAGAATTTACCAGTACAATGAATATGCAATTTTTATGCAAAATTTATGAAATTAAAAAAGTGTTTATGAGAAAAGGAATTTAATAAATTATTGTTCAACCTTCAGAATGAGAAGCTTGATTTGAACTGCCAAATAAAACTAGAGGACTGGGGGTAGGGGATGTAGGTATGAAACATGAATGGTTGACCGACAAATCTAATGTTAAAGGGGGGGG